GATGAATGAGAGGAAACGAATCGAATGCGAGATGTGTTATGATTCCCACAGTAAGTGATGTCAAAGCGTGTAGAAAAAATGTGATTTACGTCCTGGTCTATAATAGGAAAGAGAATGTTTCCAAAAAAAAAAAGAAAAAACGCTAGAGATAAGTAGCCTAGGCATTTGAACAGTAGCGATATCCATACTAGGGAAAAGTACTTTTTCCTGAAGCATGATTTCTCTAGATCACATAGTGGAAGCAAATTCACCCAAAGTAATTCAGAATGTGGTTGGATAGCCAGTTATCGTACAATCTTGATCAAATTAGAGGTGATCGCTTAACAAGCCTTAATGGAGTATTCGGATAGGTCAGTTGGAAAAAATACATCGAAATTCATACCTTCGAAGGTGTTTTGATCCCATCGTGGTCTCGAAATATCAGGAAGGACCTTTAGCGCCGATAATTTTTCGCTCATACTTCGGAAGTGAATGATGGTTTAGGACATACTATTTCAATGAACCACGTCAGATAACGTGGTGATAACATTGACTTGTTGGTTTTGAGTGATTGACATGGCGGTTTGATTTCAAATGGGCAATTCTGCAATCTTCACTAGATCATGTTCCATTCCAAGTTAAAAAAGACAATACCGACTGAAATATCAATTTATTGCAAACCACTTGGACTAAACCAGGAATGCAGTCATTGGTGGTTTCGGGAAGCACCAGAACACTTTTCTCACAATTTGTAAAAACTAACTGGATCTATCACTGCGCTTCGAGATTTGTGAAGGAAACGTAAATCCTAATGTGAATTAACTTCTAAATGATTCAAACGCTTCGAAGAGCATAGGTGAATCTGCCTAGACAATATTCCTTCAAATGTAGATATCCATATAGAATTCAAAAAATCAGAAACCCGAACTTGAATGAGCGAGTAAAGAACGGCGAACGCTAGAGAATAACTGCAAAAACACTTAGAAAAGAGTTGATGTTAAAAAGTTAGAAATATCAAAACAATTTCTAGCAAGCGCTGATTGACTCCATTATCACTGGGTTGTTAGTTACATGAAAATCGTGTTGAACAGATAGAAAGTGATAACGTAAGGCATGAGATTCAGACAGGGTTTTGGTGAAAACATGGGAAGCACGAAACAACAGACTTTCGCATTATTTAATAAGCTTCTTCTTCTCATCGTATAACGTCTTTCCTAAGAAGCTGTTTAAGTAATCGCAGAGTTTGCTACTGTTAGAAGAATCGCAGTTGTCCTCAAAGAATCGTCGTCTCATGGGACCGAATTTCTCTCTATTCCACAAATGGCGACAACTGGTTGTGAAACGCTCCTGCATGGACATCTCTAGAATCCACAAAAAATCAAACTTGACTAGTATGTTAATCAGGATAAGATGACAGGATCTTAAGTTGCAGTTGCAGTCGAACATGCACACATCCGACCACTGACGGTTGTAAGACAACGGAACGAATCGATAGACAAATGAGACTTGCTTAGCATGCGAAGACGAATCATCTAAGTAGCCTATTAATCTGCATACTTAAGCATTTAATAGGTTTCTTCAATGATGTTTCATTTCGTAAGGAAATGAAGAAAGGCTCATGTTACGCACACCATTAAGACCACCAAAATTGTTTCAGTTGGAAGTGTACCAAAGGAACTATAATGTGTAACAGGCACTTCCTCTAAATTAGCTTCCAGCTGGCGGAATGGAACACACTATCACTCTTATCTTTACCGTTATTGAAAAGAACTGTTTACATTACTGAAAGTCTTTTTGCCATTTACTAGAAAAAGGCAAGGTTAACTATGGACGTTTGAATTCGATCCGTTACAATCGCATCTCCATTATGGCCACATCGCTACACAGGACACTTCCCACTTTCAAAGAAGTAGTAAAGACCTTTGAGTTCCCTATCTCAGGCCATACAGGAAAAAACTTTGAGCAACAAGCATTCAAGTTAAGCCTCTCCAGAAAAAGACATATTAAAGCGGTGTTTAACATGGAAATTACATTAAAAACAGTTGCAAGACTGCAAATAATTGACAGAGACGCTGAAGCTTGAACGTTATATGAGGACGGCTCATCTAAGTATCTGTGTATCAAACGAACGGACTGACTTTAAATTCACGAGTATGGTGAGAGGAAACAAATGAAGGACTGGACACGCGTTTAGCATTTTAGGAGTGGCAAGGTCCTATTACAAGTAGAGCGAGAAAAGCGAGAGAGGCACCTCGAAACACAATGGCCTTTTTGTGGGCGAAGAGTCAGTTGAAAAAATGCGTATGGATGAATGACAAGAAAAAATCACTCCTTTTCTTGGAAGAAAAGGAGAACCTGAGGTATGATGAAGTATATTTCGATTTCTAACCACCAGCAACTGTGCTCGAATGTTTTTTTTTTCTCGACAGGAAGGCGAAGACGCAACGTCGAGGCGAACAACAAGCATGGACCATCGACTCGGATCACCGGCTCTGAGGAAGACGAAGACGTCGAAACATTAGCCGAAAATAAATATATTTATCAACCTCGTGCAAGCTTATCAAGAAAGAATACATATTGATTAGTCACACCGAGGTTTAGGGAAGGTCGGTTTCGAAATATTACTACGCTTTGTGCTAGCTGATGATACACCGACCTCTGCACGATGTGCGTAATGATATATGTCCGGAAGAAATACAAGTTGTTACCACCGGACATTGTCATTATATATCAACCATCAGCATCGTGTATAAAAGGGCATCACTGAGTGAGGATGCCTCATTCGAGAAGATGGCTCGCTGAGGAAGATCTGGCTCGACAGGAAGGCGAAGACGCAACGTCGAGGCGAACAACAAGCATGGACCATCGACTCGGATCACCGGCTCTGAGGAAGACGAAGACGTCGAAACGTTAGCCGAAAATAAATATATTTATCAACCTCGTGCAAGCTTATCAAGAAAGAATACATATTGTGCTCGAATGATCTTGGATGCCATGAATACCAGAAATCCAAAGGAATGCATGCTAAGTGTTAACCGTTTATAATAATGCTAATTAGTTTAGTGATAGTGGATATGAAGGATGTATGAGTATCCAAGTGATTCCCAACGTCGTTCATAAAGAGACGAAATCACCAGACAACTGCCCAATCCAAACTGAGATCCTGAGAGCGTTACGGATGCGATGACAAAATTAAGTGAAAGAAGTGATAGAAACCGCGCAGTAAGAGAAAACTTATTTACTTGGATGGCCTATCTCCACTGGTTCTGCAAGCCACAGCATAATTTCTACTCGTTTCTCTCTCGCACAACTGAATCGATGATGGTTCTCTGCTTCGAACATGGTGACGCCCACAAGGCCAATTCTTCAATCTTTAAATCATCGCCATCTGTGATTCCACATGGTTGATATTAGGCAAGAACACGTCCACCCGTCGTTTAGGTGGTCTTCCATGAAGACGCATATATTCTGTCCGAGTTCACTTTACTGTTCTTTCCGCCGATTTTTCATATTTTCTTTTTATTCTGTGACCAGCCCATCAATGTTTTACTATTGATGTATTTTCGTCACGACCCCGAAGATGAAGTAGGTTTCGAAAATCTGAGCTGCGCATTCCAGATTGATGTTATGGATGCCGGTTAAATTTCAAAACACATCGTTGAAGCGCTCTCTGGGTGTTGCAAAAATTTCTTGACGTGGAAGTACGATGTGAAGTACCAGTTCACTTTTCCGCTGCATAATAGAGCGCTGGGAAAACTGTTAAATTGGAAAGGTGAGTGTGGAGTTATGGGTCCGTTAGCTGGTTGGTGGCTTCTTTGAGTGCCGTGAATGAGGTCCATGGTTCACCATGTTTATTAAGCGTCCAAAGTGCATAAACGAGGTGTTTTCTATAGCCAGAGAGCCATTTTCTTTACCTTCACACCACTGGTTTTCTATTAACTAGATCTTTGTCCTATTTATGCTCAGTCCAATATTTTTTCCCGCTTCGTTTAGTTCATTGAGCACCATCTCTGCTTCACTGGTACTCCTCGAAAAGACGTCGATAATATCAGCAAAACGAGGATTTGAAAGGAATTTTCATCAATACGTGGGCCCATTTCAACCCACCAGAGTGATTTCATTATTCCCTGAAATACGGCAGCAAACTGATTTAACGGTGCAGTGTCTCAATGTCAAACCCACTTTCCTATTGGTATGGTGGTGGTCCGCTGAAAAGACTGCATATTTGTACTCTTGCTCCGATGACATTCTGCTAGTGGTAGGATAAGCCGACTCCTTGGTCTACGAACAACGAAAAGATTGCATTCGTATCAAAGCTGTCAAAAGCTTTCTTGTAGAAGACAGAGGTTAGGGCACGGGGCAGATGGTACTCCTGAGAAACTTTAGTTACCTGTCATACGGTTTGGATGTGGTCACTGCAGAAGAATTCCTGTGGGAATCTTGCTTGCTGAATAGATGTGCTTTATTGAAAGCCTTCGATATTCTTAAAAGTATAATATTAGTTAGCATATGTGTGCAAAAGGCGAATTGTAGTGAACTGCTTGAAGAGTACACTCAATAAGCATATTGGACGACAGTTACGAAGATCCCTTCGGCCACCCTTCCTGGGTATGGTGACCAGGCGCGACGCTCTCGTTTGGTTTGGGATTTTTTGCTTTCGAAGGCAGGACGTCATATTTTTCTTACTTTTTATTTTGTTTGACCTATCTTTATGTCAACTATTCGGATTCCAGCACTTCTCACATTCAATTCGTTTCCTCTCATTCATTGTCCGCAAAGATCTTTCACCTTTATGTGTGGCTCCGGTTCCTTCTTGAGGATTTCCATTCCATCTTGAATTCCCTAGAATGCAATACCAATTTTCCGACCTCGGAGGGATGAGAGGCTTTGCTGACCCAGAATGGGATCGAACGAGAACCATGCGCGTGATGACGGAGATCACTACCGCTCTGGACGTCATATAGGTGATGAGAAATACCGGCACTTTGCCGCCTCCAACTCTAAGGAAATCCGCGGTGATATTAAATACCAGGTACAGGAACTGTGTGTCTTTCCACCATACTTTCTGTCGCAACTCGAACTTCAAAGGGTAGCATACCGGGCTGCCTTTCGCCAACGGGAATTTCGTAGTCTGAGACATCGGTTAGTGAAGCGGAAAAATTGGCATAGAACTTTTCCGTCATCAGTTCTATATCATGACGGGATGTAGTGATAGTTCCTCCTTCGTTCATCAAGGCGAAGAGGAGAACATTATGGTGTCAAAGATCTCGACAACACTTGCTCAAAGTGAATCGTTCTTAAGCTGCTTCCAGTATCTTTTTCTGCCTTTACTGGTGTAAATTCTCTTGTGTAAAGTTTCTGTTTCTGTAGGAACAAAGGCCTTCTACAGTTGGCAATTATTATCGGTCGGGTTTAGTGTGTTGCAGTAGGATCAAGCACCGATGTCCTTTCCTTTTCGGGCAACTCCTCAGTAGCAATGGAGATGATATATGGACATCATGTTTGAGCAATTTGGGCGAGTTCGGCACAAGTTCTAAGTCTTTCAGTAACCAGTGTGTAGTCCACGGTACGCAAGGGAGCGAGATAACAGGAGTATTTCTGCAGCTTATGGCTGAATCGATTCCTCACACGGTAAGGCAGTGATCAGATCCAGTGCAGAATCCAGGTACCACTGAGAGGTCAACAAGGCACCATTTTCATTTCCTGTTCGCGAGAATATGATCAATCTCCGCATGAGACGTGCCATTAAGGAGAATTCCACGTCTATCGGTGACTTTCTGTCTTCTCTAATAATGAAAAAACGTGCTGCTACAGGACTCCTACAAAATGGTTCCCATTCTAATTTCGACCTCCAATTCCAAATTTTCCTATCCTGTATTTATTTCGTTAACCATTCCAATTTCATCTGGCGTTGAAGTCTTCAAAAAGAGATTTGTGGAATTACTTCTCGTTGTGTATTACTTTCTCTATTTGGCTGTAAAACGAGTCTGGCTCTCCAACCTGCGGTGAACCAACGACTCAGATGAATGCGGCTCTGAGAAAGGCAAAGGCTCCGAAACGTCAGCCAAATAAAACTTATAACAACCTCGTACCCGCCCAATCAGCTACAAAAATACTAATTATTGCTTTCGAGGTTCAATAAAAGTCGGTTTTAAGGCAAAAAATAAAATAACGTTTAAGTGTTAGTCAAATTACCACTCAGTGAACTTTTCCGAAAAATTGTGTTTTCTAAATCATTCTACTATTCTGCACTATTATTCACACTATTCTGCTTCCAGTAAGCCAATGAATGATTGCAAAATTTGCGGTGAGAAGGCTTCGTGCGCCAAAATAAATTAAAATGATTCCTGTATACCCCTCACGTCGCCACGCATTAGCACTGCAGAGTCCACGTCACCACAAATATGTTGAGAAATATAGTGAACCGTACAGCGCATACTATTTCACCCAAAAGGACGATAAAACAAGGTCTCTTCTATAATTCTATTACGTTCTTAACCCTTTAACTCTTCTGGCTGTCGAAATACCACCGTCCATTGTCGAAAAAACAGCAGTTCCGTAGAGACGAGAAATTAGGCTTAATGCTCAGCCAAACAAAATTAGAAGCACTCTGTAAGGGTTGATATTTGCTAGCACTTTAAAAATCTGTTTTGTTTAATAATAAAGTGGAAAACTATCTGCAGCAGAAAGGTGTAATTAACAACACTGTGACACGGGGAAGATGAAGCAATCACTAACATCGAGCTTCAGATCTCGGTAAACACTATCTTTTCAAATGGCGAAGCGCTATTTCTATGACCGATGTTTCTCTAACGTTAACATGAGCAGTCAATACGGCGTTCTTTGATAAGCTCAGACGAGGTTATTAACAAGCCATAATTTCATGTCGTATATTAAAGGTTTTAGGACGAGTAGCGCAGTGGTCGGAGGCGACCTGCAAATAGGATCAATCCAGCGCCCTAGGCTCATCAAGCTTCCATTCCTCCGGGGTCGGCAAATTGGAACCAGACTTGTCTAGGAAAGCAGCAGCACTGACTCCATGCATAAACAGGCCATCTCAAGCCATTGCATAGGCCATTTATGCATTAAATCACCTTTAACAATGTTAGCGAAGTTGAAAGGGTGTCGTATTCTCTGGGATTGATCAACGCAGAGAGCTCTACCCTTTTTATTCTTCATACTAAAAGCGAATTTAGAGGGTTCCTGCACGGTTTTCTCGAGTTTCTTGGCAACAGCCTGTTATGACCTTGTGGAGAAGCAATATTTCAAATCTGTTTTCCACACTGGTCTCTCTGGAAAGCATGTCAAAAACGATTAAATTTTCCAAAGAGCAGCATCACAGAACCTATGGCGTTCACATTTGATAGAGGTGCTCTATAAAACACGTGGTTGTTGGCCCAGTATTGCGCCTTGGCTAATCGAACCGTCATTTTTCTTCGGCAGACATGTAGCTACAAGGCTTTTGAAGGAGGATAGTAACACTGTTTTGACCTACTGGTGAGTCCTGCAATGCATTTTACAGACAAAATGCGAAATCAACGACATCTGTGGTCCTATGGACGTATTCCAATGTGCAGCCTACCTCTGAGGAAGAGTCAACGCCGAATTCCTAATTTTTATTCTTTTTTATGTACTCACTAAAAACATTCGAGTTAAAATATGGATACGCATATTCCACCAGTATTACAAATTTGAGTCCTCAAACGGGAGGCACTTTGACTTTGAGTAGACATAGAAAAATACACATTGAGTACACATTGAAAAATCACATTCTTCAGCATACATTTACTTCCATAAAAACACAATACAATACAACGCTAGCTGACGTTTCGGCAGTATCGCCTTCTTCAGAGCCTGGAAGGGTATACTGATATACAATCTACTAGGCCAAACGCTTCAATAACACTTACAAAAAGACGAAAGACTCTTTGGTAATTACATGATCAAAAGCTTCTCGAAAAACCCACCGCTTTTTCGTGACTTCCAATGAGGAAGTTTAGAACAGCTGATTATAGTCGCATGTGGTTGACGACTGCACCATCCCACATCAAAAATCGATGCGAACGTACGGGATCAGGTCGCGTATAACCTCCGGGCATTGTATGTATGCTAAATGTATGCTGTTTAAAAACCTCGCGATTGCTGAACAAGAAAACGACACATTCATATTCCAATGCCGAGGTTAAGAGAAAGTCGATCCTGGGAACTATCACATTCTTCACTTAGCTTTAAAGCATTTCATTTCGAAGCACAAGGTTTTTCAGAAAAGGAAAACGCCTTCCTTTTCTGTATATTGTACTTCTTGTGAATCATTATCAATTATCTGGCGTTTCCATCAGGAAGCCTAGCTAAGAGTGAACCAATACCAAGATCCACCACCGTCCTGGTATTAAACTCGTATGATGGCAAATCTCTCTCTGATCCGCAAGGGCTGCGACCGCCTGTAGTGATGAAGACCTGCTGCAGACTTTGGCCAAGCTGACCTCGTGACTCCAAGAAACCACAACGGCTAAACCAATAAAACTCCGGGAATGGAGATTATACTGGGCCCGCACAACTAGTGAGTATGGGCCATTCAAATATCAAGTATCAAGCATCAATCATTATTATTCTGACTTATTTTACCTCCTATATTTTTTTTCTGCTTTTCTATATACTCCTTTCTTTGATTCTGCTTAAAATAAAAAAGGCTTTTTGGATTGGCAGAAGTGCGAAAATTTCACCGAACTGTTTCTTAGCGTATAGTTGTTCTGGTACAAAAAAAAACAAACACTGCTGTTTTCCAACCACAATGTTGACGAGATATTTGCAAAACTCTGGACCACAGATGTCTAAGGCGAACGCGCTATTGTCCTTTCCGAGAAGTAACACGTTCAGCACCACACCATGTGGTCCCTTCGTTTCACCTATCTCTCTGCTAGTTCTATCGTTTAGCGCCATCAGCAATCAGCCTTAAACGGCGTTGATTACAGCCTCATGTTTACTGGGCTCAATGCCCTTCAATGATAACAACCTCGTGTCTGCCTATTGAAGAAAAACATCGAATTACCAAACAATGCCGAGGTTAAAAGAAAATCGGTTATGGGAACTGATGTTTTCCTTTGCCGAAAAGTTACTAGCTAAACACTTCGAAGTTCTGACGTTTTTCAGCGATACCCTCCTTACTACACGGTGTGCCCTAGGGACTTCCATAATCTCCTTGCAAATTTACCCACAGCCCGAGAATCGCCATCCGAGATCGAGTTGCAGACCTCCATCAGCCCGAGGGCTTCACTGTTAAATTTATAGTCATCCCTATAAGTTTTTGGTATAATTTTCACATTTCTGCAATTTGAAAAACTATTAAGAAGCAATGATGCTGAGATATTTGCAAAAGCCTAGACCGCAGGTGTCTGCGATGGAGAACGAACGTGCTATTGTCTTTTCCGGGGAGTAATGCCTTAATCACCACACCATACGGGTCCTTCGCTTCGCCTGTCTCTCAGCTAGTTCTATCGATCTGTGCCGTCAGCACCATCGATAACAGTATCAGCAATCTTGTGGTTGTGTATTTCGCTTAACACCCTGCCGTAAAAATAATAGAAGGCAGAAAATAAAAAGTAAACGTTGCGAATTCAACTATAGCCTCAGTTTACCTGGGTTCAATGCCGATTTGGGCTTCCCAGCTCAATCCCATTGACGGGTGATTGCTGATGGCAAAAAGATCGATAGAACTAGCTGGCGAAACGAAGGACCCGCATGGTGTAGTGGTGAACGCGTTACTCATCGGAAAGGACAATAGCGCGTTCATTCCCCACCGCATACACCTGCGGTCCGGAGTTCTGCAAATATCTCAGCATCGTTGAAGTTATATTTCGCAATATACCCTGCCATCAAAGGAGTAAGCAAAAAATAATAAGTTGAAATTATTATTCGTTCCGTTTGTCTCATTCTACGGTAGCTTCAAAAAGTTGTATTCTAGGGCTTGGCAGCCATCTTCATTTGTTCACTTGTTGACTGTTCAATGCATCCGATACGAGAATATTAAAGTCTCCACCCTTCTTGTAACATATCAATTATCTACTGAATTCCATTGCTATACTATGGTATATGTTGAGGTTTGAGTCAGCAGATTGTGCGAAGAATATAACAATGAGGCGAGGAGAGGGTAGCGCAGTTGAAGTGAAGTTCATCATCACGAGCATGGTGCTAGTTTGATTCCGCTCGGTGCCAACCAAGCCTCTCATCTCCC